AGCAATCATCCTCAGCATTATCATATTATAGTTTGTAGACTTCCCTCGTCTGATTCCTTGGTTGGCCATGTTTCCGAACTATATAGAATAGTTGGTTGTACTATGGAACTGTAAATTTTTCCCTTTAATTTGTGTGGGATTCTTTTGTCAAATAGCACTCCAGATAAAGATCTCCACTTTAACCACCCTTCATTAATTTTACTCTTTTTCTATTATGCCGTTTGTTTGTATAGTGGAGCCCATATATTTGCAGCTTTCAATTGCCGATATCGGCCATTCATTTATATCAATACTCTCTGTTTCATCTCCTTCTATTACCATATACTCCGTCTTTTCTCTATTTACCTTTAGTCCTTGCTTTTCTAGTATATTACTCACTAATTTTTCTTTCATTTCATCCTTGGATTCTACAAGTATCATAATATCATCTGCAAATATCATATTCCACGCGACTGTTTGAGGTATAGACTGTGCTAATACATCTATTACTGTAATGAAGAAAAGTGGGCTGAGAGCCGACCCTTGATGAACTCCTTCAGCTATTGTGAAGCCTGCTGAATACCTGTTGTGCTACGGACCATTGTTGTATGGCCCATATACATATCCTGTATTATTCATATATTATTTTTCGGTAACCTTTTTGTGGCGTAGCACCCACCAGATAAGTTTTCTTTAGATCGAGAAAGACCATGTGTAGCTTTTTGTTCTTTTCCCTGTATTTTTCACTCATTTGCCTAATTGCGTGGATAGCATCAGTTGTTGATCTTCCAGGCATAAAGCCAAACTGAATCTCCTATTTCGATTATGTCTCTTAATCTTTTTTCTATTATTTTTTCGTATAGTTTTAGACAGTGTGTCATTAGTTCTATGCCCCTGTAATTTTGACAATTGTGTGGATCCCCTTTATTTTTGAAGATAGGAACTAGATAGCTCTGCCTCCATTTTTGAGGAACCTCTTCATTTCCATATATTTTATTGTATAGATTTGTGAGGAAATGTATTCCATCATCTCCTAGTGCTTTAAGGATTTCTATTGGAATATCATCTGGACCCCTAGCCTTGTTGTTTTTCATATGCTTGAGGCATGTGATTATTTCTTGTTCTGTTATAGGTTGTACAAGGTTTTGACATGGGGAGTATTCGTCTAGATAGTATGTGGGGATTAAAGTTGAGAAGCTCCTGAAAATATTATTTCCATCTATTCATTATTTCTTTTTCCTTTATTATCAATCCCATATTTTTGATTACTTTCGGAGCTCCGTTTATATCCCTAGAATTCTTTTCTCACTGTTTGGCTAATTTCTATATTTTATTTTACCCTTCTTTGGTATGTAGTTCTTCATACATGTCATCGTATGCCATAGATTTGGCATAGCCACCGCCTTTGTAGCTATTCTCTTGGATTTTTTGTATCTTGTCTTGTCATCTGGGTTTTTGGATTTGTACCATATTTTATAAAGGGCTTTTTTCTCCTGTATAGTGGTTTGTACCTCTTCATTTCACCACCATAGTTCTTTGTATGATTTGTTACCTCCATCAATTTGGCAGTGTCTATTAATCTGGATGAAAGGTCTGTCCACATTTTTTTCACTGACTTGTCAGGAATCTATTGTTTCGATGTTTACATTGATTGCAAAAGCATCTGTCATTGTTTTTAATCCCATTTGATGCATGGTTCCAGTTTTATCTTGTTTTGAGTGGATTTATTTATGATGTGCAAATCCATGCTAGTAGCTTGTGTTGTGCAGCTATATCTTCCTTTGGGATGACTTTGCAGTCTATACATCTTTTAATCTTCTATGAGAGATTAGCATGCAATCTATCTGTGTTTTCCTTGTACCACTTTCATATGTTATTAAATGAATGCCTTTTTTCCTTTAGTAGGTGTTGGTTAAGGCAGGGATTTCCATTACAGCTTCATCAAGGATAGCTCTAAAGTCATCTTTCTCCTCTTTGCAGCCTGTTTGAGGAGCATATACTGAAAGGATGTGTAGTATTTATTGACCAATGCAGAGTTATATCTTCATTAGTCTATCAGAGATCCTGTTGACTTCTACTACTGAGGAGGTTAGATCCTGACTGAGGATGATGCCCACACCGTTCCTATTGCTAACAATTCCATTATAGTACAATTTATACCCATCTTCAATCATTAAAGTTTTCTGACCTTTCCATTTCGTCTCTTGTATGCACGCTAGATCAACTTTTCTCTTGTTCAACATTGATGCCAATTTTCTCATTTTACCTTTAAGTGTACCAATATTCAAACTTGCTAATCTTGTCTTTTTTGCTTTGACCTTTATTTTACTTTTCACAGGATGGAGGTCTACACCCTGCGCGTCGCTTGGAGGGAACGCCCTAGCTTTCATATTTTCATTTGTTTCATTCATTTTTTTTATTGGACAAGTATCCTTAGCACCCGGCTGTCCAAGCCTGTCGGTGACCGGGGTGTCATCTCTAAGCTCCGAAATTCATCTTGCCATATGTCTTTACACATCTGTCATCGAAGAAAAACCTGAAAGTTTTTATGTTCTTTATCAGGATTGAACCTGCGTCCTTCTGTTTCCAAGCATAAATCATAACCTATTAGGCCACCCCGTATATTATAAAGATATTGAAACCACTAAAAATAGCAACCAAGGTTTGTGGAGCGAGCAATTAACGTTGAGTAGTTTTTATTCCGATTCACACTAACGACACTCTTGCCAATTTATTAGCAACTAGCATAAAAATACAGGAACGTGACTATCTTAGAAATGGTGTACACCTTTCTGCCCTTTTTAGATCTTATATACTAAATTTTAATATAAAAATGGCACTTTTGGTAAAATGGCACTTTTGGTAAAATGGCATTTAATAAATTTATGGACAAGAATGCAAAATCGAGGATGTTATATTATTATTGTAAATAATGAAATTAATGTTGATGTTGATATGCCATCCCTAATGATGAACTAAAAAGGTTGTTGAGGAAGATAGAAAGTCAAAATTCTGGGAAGATTACTGGTCAACAAAATTATGAAAGAAACATTGGAACTCTACATGTTTTTTGGGTTGGATAAATTAACTTCAATATAATCTATGTTTGGCTTCTATTTGATATTTTAGATAAAGGTAGAATATCCTAAGAGGAGAATATATACTTCAATATTGGAAGGAATGAAGAAAACCCAGCCTGTTATTGTTAAAATTTCTCAAGTCATTTTAGCAGTTCCAGCCATAAAGTCAGCGAGGAAAGAGCATTTTCTTCATTTAAATTTGTATTATCACCATATAGATCTAGAATGTTCAATAATTTATTAGAAAATATATAGTAATTTTTTTAAAATGTAAAAATATTTTATTCTATATTATATAAATATATAAAGAATTAAAAATAAAGTATACATCAAAAATTATAATGATAAAAGATAAGGAGAAAGCTAAGTGAATGGTTCAGGCCAAGAATTTTTAAACACAAGATAATTGAACTGAATTATTTTAACAGCTATATTTTAAGTTTATATAATGGGTAGGTGTAATTTATTTTATATATATTTCGAAACGGTTTTAAAAAGATTCCAAGCGGCTTCTCCAAAAGAAAGGAGGATGTAGCTATCATGGAGGCGAAGTTGCAACAAATGTAATCAGGTAGCAGATTGTTATGGGCATGCCTTCCATTGTAAATTCACATCAAAAATTAATCGTCATAACAAAATATACACTAATTGCTACATTTTTGAATAAGACAAATCTCCCATGCATTCTTGAACCCAAATTCTGCATAGATAAAAAAAACTCCCCGACGGCAAAACTATAGTTCTCTTTGTATCAGGCAAACCCTTTGCCTGGGATTTTACTTGCATAGACCCCCTTGCCCCTTCTAGTAATATAACCCTCTTCTCAGGGCTGAGGCATTAAAGTGTTAAAAATATTCCTACCTGATATGTGATAACCACTTCGTCTCCAAAGTAGTTATATCCTTCTGCTCCTTTGGGCAAGTCGCTTTGAATCTTTTTGAGACCGTTTCGAAATCTATAAAGAGAAAAACATACATCTTCCCATTTTGTAAACTTTAAAAAAATATTTAAAGATACTTTACCGAATATGAAATTTTTTTCATAATAAATTATAATGCAAAACACAAGCGAGATATTTTTATTTGAATACAATTTAAGAATTATCAAAATAGATAAATATAATTGATGAAATTATGTTGGATCTCTCCTCTTTTATTTTGTGTAACACCTAACAATCTAATCTTCCACTAATTCGACGTCAACTTCATTTTTGCTTGCGAAATTTAAGGCCATTCAGGAATTTTTTTTTCAAGTTTGTCTAAAGATTCAAAAGGTTGAACTACATATTTATAAAGTAGCCTTTATTCGTTCCACACTTGATAATACGGTGATTATTTCGTAGTCGCTTTAAATTTCTTTGAACTGCATGAATATTTTAAATTTTCATAATCAAACTTGATGCATTCCAATTTTCCCCCTCATGCCATAATTTTATCAGTAAAAGGATCTTCTAAAATCTCAAATTTACATTTTATTTTATTTCATCATTAGCTTTCATCTATACTATTAAGTATTTATTTTAATTATCGTTTTGTTGAGTGTTAATGAAAACCATTTAATGAACAAATTTGCTCGATGACCCACATTTTTTGTTATAATTTATTAATACAATAGAATTTTTAAAAAAGATGAGCTTCCGGATATAATCCAATTGGAATTTTTTTTGAGGGTTAAGTTGTTTTATTAAATTTAATATTTTTGATTTCAATTTTTAAAAAAAAATCAAATTCAAATTTTGTTTAGCACATTAAATTAGATAAATTCTTTATCTAAATACTAAATTTAATTTTTAATAAACCGAATGAAACATTTATTATAAAGGTTTCAACGTGACGTTTTTTTTTGAGCCACCCTGTTATACCGTATTATTTATTGTTTCTATTCCAATTACCTTTGGTCACGGTTAGAAAATTATTATTATACACATACGAAATATGAAAGATTTCGTGGTTGATGCTACCCGAAAAGGAAACAAGATACGTTTTGCAAATCACTCACACACCCCCAATTGTTACGCGAAAGTTCTAATGGTCAACGGTGATCACAGGATAGGAATTTTTGCTAAACATAATATCAAAGCTGGTGATGAACTATTTTTCGATTACAGGTGCTTATTATTAAATAGTATATTTATTTATTACTTGTGAGAGGATTTATATCAGAGACCTGCAGAGGCACCATTTATACGGCCCGGCCCAGATTAAAAAATTTTCGGCCCGGCCCGGATTTTTTTTTCTAAAATTTTTTACGGCCCGAATATTTAAAAAAAAATTTTTGGGGCCCAGCCCGGCCTTGATTTTTTAAAAAAGAATTTTTAAGGCCCGGCTCGGAATTATTTAAAATTATATTCGACCTGGTATATATAAAAATATGATTATTTCGTATTTCATCATATTTTTTGGCGAGTATTATCATTTAATAAGCAAGTATATTAGCTAATGTTGTTAAACGGCTCGTTTTGAGCCGATTTTTAAAAACGGCTAACTCAATATTTTCGCCAGAAAAATATTGACTGCCTAGAAATTTCGATACTATATGTCTAGACCTTTGCTCCTTCTATGAGCAAAATTTTCAGGCTTGCATAATACTTTTCTGGATAAAAAACTGAGTTACCCGTTTTTAAAAATCGGCTCAAAACGAACCGTTTAACAAACATATTTTATTTTTATTTTAAACAGATATTTAATATATTACAAATTGATACGTGTAAATAATATTTTGAGAATATACTATATATTTATAAAAAAAATATAACATTATATTATATAATATATAATAATGTATTTAATCCTTTGCGTATTTATTCCATGGCAGCAAAACTATAATTTTATTATGTAATAGATACTATGAGTGTTAGCTAGTGTTAACTTTCACCAAACATTATATTAATCATAACTATATATAATTCTTATAACCATATCTAATTGACGAATATAATAATTGATGTTGTATAAATTTTTTAAAAAAATACGGCTCGGCCCAGGTATTTTTTAAAAAAAAATTTTCAGGCCCAGCCCGGGTATATTTTAAAAATTTAAAATCCGGGCCGGGCCTGCAGGTCGATTTATATAAAGGCTCATATATGCTTATTAAATTTTTTTTAAATTAAACTATCCTTTACTAACTACTATTATATCCTCAATAAAATAACCTAAATTAAATTTTGATGAATCAAAATATTAGAATAATCGTTTTGTGATTTTTAAAAAAATAATGTTAACAATTTTCAAATGCGTTTGTCACGCAATATTAATTTACTTTTACTACAAATTTAGCCATAATATATTTATTTTAGTAAAAGATAAATTATGTCTCATAATCCAAAGAGCTTGAGGGAGGTTATAATAAAAACGCATTCATGATGTGGCTACTAAAATTCAATCTATATTTTAGAAGAGTTAAAACTAAAAACTATTTCTTACATATAATTTAATTATATTTTTCCTGTTTTCAATATTAAGCTAACACCATAACCAGATCAGTTTTTATATAAGATACATTTCTGAATTAGTTAATTAATTCCCTCTGAATTATATAATACTAATTATAAAAATTTTATGAGAATATTTTCTCTGGGAAGTAATTTATTTACAATACAAATAAAATTTTTGAAATATATAAATTAATAAGAAATAAAATCTAATAGTCATTTTGCTAAAATGTTAAATTAAATTATGAAAAATTACATAAGATATGGACCCATGGATGCTCTGAAATATGTTCTGCACGAAAAGAAGAATCTAGAAAAATAAAGCATTTAAATCAACGATTTGAAATCCTTAATGATATATTTTTAAAATTTTTTTTACATTTTACGATTATTTCATTCAATTCTTATTTTATAAATTAATATTATACTAATAAATAAATATGTTATTTTTTACATGCGTAAAAAAGTGAATACAATAAAATATCAAGTATTAATATACATATGAGTCAGGCAGTTTGCCACGATATGGGCTAAATAACAACACTAGCATCTAGTTTCGGTAAAATATATTTAACTATGTAAAAATATTTTGCATAGGTTACTCTGCTTAACCCAAAATACTTTTTACCCGATCCCAGCCCATGCTGACCTCCAATTGAGTTTATTCACAATTATTCATGCTGAGAATAAATTGTCATGATTACAAAAAACTTAAATGAATTATTAAATGAAGATTAAAAAATTAATCATTTAAAAAAATATGATTTCTAAAAAATCGATGAGAATTTTAATCAATTGGGCGGGGGGGGGGGGTGATCTATCTAAAGTTTGAATTAAGAATCATTAGTGTTATTAAAGGGTCGGAGCAGCTCAAATGACTCGACTCATTTTGAGGATTTCATAGTATAAATATACCGAATTATGATATTCAATATTCTATACAGGCTAGATTATTGAAACAAGTTTAGGACCTAACTATAATAAATAAAAGTCAATGCGATACAACATTTTTGGTCTATTTTTTTATTACATTAAAAAAATAAACATAGAATAATCAATAAAATTGTCTATTTTTATTAATAAATAAAGGGAAAATTATTTCGAATGGTTGCAATTTTACTTTTAAAAAAATAGGCGTTAGGGGGAAGCAAAGAAAAAAAAATGTTCAATTTTTAAAAAAGTAATTATCTAATTGAAGTATTGAAAATTTATTTTAAATATTTTTTTCAAGAAATTTATTATCTAAAAAATGTCTCACTAGATAACTAATTCCAAACATTTCTTCAAAATTTTCCCATAAATTTGTTGGTAATTTTTTACAAAAAATCTTATTCTCATTTTTTTTAATTACACTAGTTGCAAACCAAATTAAAGAAGTGTTTCAGGACGATTAATGAATTACTAAAATTTTTAATATATATCTAATTAGTGTAAATTCTCAAAGAGTCTTTAAAATTATGTAAATTTATTTCAACTTTGATTTCAATCCAACAACCATAAATAAAGGAGTAAAGCTTATTTTAGAAAATCTTTATTATTAATTTCAATTTAAAAAAATTATTTCAAAATTTAAAACAGGGATGTGAACCCGGACCCTTAACCCCTGTATTTTGGTTGAACCCGAATCCGGAGACCCTTATTAAAAGTGGAGGGTCCAAGAGTTCTAGGTGTTATAAAAAATTTTAAAAATAAAAATATTTTTTTAAAAAATTATATAAATAAATTTTATTAACTTTTTTTGTGGAATCTATTTTATCTTCGCGTTTTTCTTTCAATTTTCTTCCAGGACTTCCATTTTATTTAGAGATTGATATCATTAGTATAGGTAATAATATTTTATTATGTAATTTTTTTTACATGCTATGTTATAGAAATACGTTGATTATTTTTAAAGTGAATTGTGTAATAATATTTTAATTTAAATGATAATGCACAACACGTTCTTCCTCAATTTGTATGATGCTAGAACGATTATCAAGTTTGAAAGATTTCTGTAATGATTTTATTATAGGAGCATGTGAAGTCATTTTGTCGGAAGATGATTGTTGCCAAATAAAGGACCTTACGTATTAGTTCCTTTAAAAATAGCAATAATAAGATTACAATCAGAACAATTATGTTTATTTCATATTAATCGCATATGGATTAGATGCCGATAAAATTTAGAAAAATTTACAGTTCGAAATATTAGATAACATGAAAATTAAAGAGCAACAATATTTGCAAAAAATAGTATTGTATACGCCTCTATATATTTAGACCCTCGATATTAAGTTTGAGTATTGAGCAAAATCAAATGGCTAAAGACCATCTTAAGGATTTATAGCATACTTAAATCTCCATTATTTACATTATATTGGAGGCTACGACAATACCTACTGGTAGTAGTGATAATAATAATGATAGCAACATTGATGATCTTGAAATTTTACTTCTAGATAGAGAAAAAAGAATCAAATTATCATCAGATAGAAAGGAGGATCAAAAAAGCCTATTGCTTCTTTAATAGTAAAGTTCTCAGAAGTTAAGAGAATAAATAAGGATATAAATATTTAAAAATTCTGGGAAAATATTTTTCAATATATCCAGAATTGTATATTTTATCTAGAATCTTCATGGCTGTACCGGCATCGCAAGTACAATAATTTTATAAAGATAACTATCTATTTTAGGTAAGGGCAGGGTTGGGCAAATTTTCAGAAAATTGTATTCGGATACAGATACAGATACTTTATAAAATTTTGTATTTAAGATACAAGATACTAAATACTTTAGAAAAATTTCAATAAGATACAAGATACTTGTATTTTTTTAAAAAAAAAGTATCTAAGATACAAGATACTTTTTTAAAAAACTTTAAATAGTCAAAATCAAAATGTATAAAGCTTTATTTTCTTATCTATAATATAAATTTATAAAAAAATATTTAAAATAAATTGTAGAAAATAACAAATTTATTAAAAAAGATAATGCGATATTCCATTTAATAATTATATAATTAGTAAATAATAATAAATCAGCATTATTTTTTAATATTATTAATTTTTCAAATGATTTATCGTTCAATCTTTGACGATTTGGTCTATTAACCATATTAGCAAAGCTAAATAATCTTTCAACGGGTGCTGAGGAGAGTAATATTGTGTTATATTTAATAAATATCTTTTATATATTTATAACTATTTAACATATTTATACTCCGCCTGTCATCTTTCATATAATTTAGGACCTCTATTTCAATATCATTTATTGAATTATTAGAATTGGATGTGGTACTTTTAAGGCAAAAGTAATCATCACCTTCATCAATTGAAAATTTTGTTGAAGTATTAATTTCAATATTATTTTTAAAAACAATTAAAACTTCATGTAATAACAAATCCTGAAGGTATATTTTTTCTTTTTCACCATCAATCCAACGATTTTTAAAATAGGGATGAGAAATAGTTGCCAAAAATGCACTTTTAAAATTGTTATCAAAATCATATATATTTTTAAATCTTTTATTTAAATAATTTTCTATGGCAATAGCTAATAGTTTGCAAAATTGTAGAATGGTTTGAATTAAATTTGTAATTTTTTTTTAACATTCAAAATTGGAGCTGATTCTCCATAATAGCAGTTGATTTCACTCTGTATTTCAATCGCTATAGCCAATGGGGCCATTATATTGCAATATTCTTCTAAATGTTGAATTTCAATATCTCTTAATTTAGGAAATTCTAATTTTTGACATAATTTAGGAAGTTCGCCTTTATTTTAATAAACTATGAAGACTATCATACAAACTATTCCATCTAGTGTAACTAATTGTTTTCCTAAAACTGCTTTGATAAGTTCTGCAGTTTTAGGCCTATTATTTGCATTCCATAGCTTAGTACATTTAGCTATTGCAGGATGATGAATTTTAGAAATGTTAGGAGAATCCTTAATAGCTCTCTCGACATCTGTTGTGGCAATTAGACTTATCGTATGGCACAAACAACGAATGTGTTAAGGCAATGTTATTGAGGCTTCTTTAGACCATTAAATAAACAAATAAATAATTTTATTTGAATAAAATTTTTTACTAAATTTACAATATCATAATAAATTTTAAAGAAGTATTAAATAATACTTTCAATGATTTCGAATTCTATACATTCATTATCATTGATGTCAAAGTCATTCTCTACAGCTTCCATAGAATATCCAAACTTCTTGAAAGCTTTCTTAAAGTTAGACCCGTTATCTATAACAGTTGCTATAACTTTTTCGTCAATACCAAAGTCACGATGAATTTTTTTATTATGATCATCTTGAAGTACTTCAAAAAATTTGCCATTAAGTATGCTTAGTTTAAATTTATTGTTATAATTTTCGGTTGAAGAATCATCTGAAGACGAAGATAAACATATTATTCTATTTTCTTCTTCCATAATTTTAAAATAGACAGATATAAAACGATTCAAATATGGTAGTTCTAATTGTTAGCAAATTGCTATATGACGACCAACGTCATATATCAAAAATTATCTTAAAATATCTATATTTTGATTAAATTTTTCATTTAAATCTTAAAACAATATTTTAAATTTTAATACTATTTAAATTAACCAATATAAATTTTTTTTAAAGTATCTGGATCTTTTTGAATATAAAGTTGGTTAAGATACAAATACTTTTAAATAATATGTATCTTAGATACTGGATACAAGATACTTTCCAAAATTTTAAAAAAGATACAAGATACAAAAGTATCTTGCATCTTAGATACAAATATCCGCGATACTGCCCAACCCTGGGTAAGGGTATACGTTAATTTACATCTGTGAAATATATATTGTTTAATTTACGTGGAAATCTCAAGAATGATATTTTAGAAGATATTATGATTGTGCGATTGAATAAAACATTTAACATATAAATTATTTCATTTGTAAATTATGAATATGTATATATTCAAGTATAATAATAAATGAATGAAAAAAATATCTTATTTTGAGTCATTATTTTTATGTTCCCTGAAACCGAACCCTGGACCCGGTTCTTTTCAAATTTTATTCCTGTACCCGAACCCTGACCTGGACCCTTTATTTTTATCGAAGGGTTCACATACCTGATTTAAAATGTAACCTTATCAATTATAATTCAGTACTTGAACATTTTACTCAAAAACAAACACGAATTCCGCTTATTTGTAAATCTTAATATATATGGTCTTACTATAAAAAAATATATTAATTGCTTCCCTAGTAATAAAATTAACGTTTCATCAATGTAATATGATATAGATGAATAATTATATTATCTTATTAAAATATTTAGTAAAAATATATTTTTTAAAATAATTAATATGCAAGTAGGCTTTTATTATTAATATTATTTTATAAGAATAAATTTCGGG